TAACTTTTGATTGCTTGTAATACTTATGAATATTTTAGGTGGACAAAAAGGCGAACTAAGAGGTGGACGCCTGAGCTTTTCCACATTAATATCGCTGTAAAGCAACTGTAAACTTTAGAGGGAATTTATATCTGTAACTGAAACCAGTTCGATTTTGTTTGCCAACCTGGTTAAAATGTCATATTTAATTATCTTAAAGATAAATCGTCCAGCTCAAACCTTTGTAGGGGTAAGAGGTGGGACCATCATCATCATCAACTTGATCCATCACTTTTTGAAAAATGGCAGCACTGCTTGATGCTCCCTGTCGTAGGCGATTGTACGAGTACAAACCTTTGATTGTGTTTATAATCATTATTTTTCTAGAATTTTCGGAAAGACGCAATTGGGTGTAAGCACCAGTGAGATCGAGAGAAATAAAAACCTTAGAACCGGACAAAGTAGCAAACAAGTCCTGAGCCAATGGAAGCGGATAGGTATTTGGTACAATTACTTTATTTATGGAGACCTTGCAATCAATCACCATTCTGATTCCTTGATCCTTTTTTACGATAATTATGACAAAAGAAGCCCACTCACTTGCTTCAACGGGTGTCATAACACCATCCCGTTCTAAGCAATCAATATGCTCAACCACTTTGTCTTTCAAACGATAAGGGACATCATAGGCTCGTTTAAATACAGGTGTATTATCTTTGACAACCAAATCAGCCTCAAAGCCTTTGATAGGGGTTGAAAAATCATTATCAAAAACGCTATGGAACTTAGTTTTTATGTCCTCTACGACGACCTCCTCCTCTGACATGCTTGTATAGTTCACAGATATCGGACGAAAAGCATCTCTCCAAGATGGGAAGAAAACATCCAGCCAGTCTCGTCCGAATAAAGGTGTGAAGACTTTCATGCTCTTCAGTACTACTAACGTTCAGATGAGCTCCGTCAACGACAGCTAATTTTACAGGGCATTCGGACAGCTCGTAGACTCCGAACTTCCGCTCGTAGGTCTGTCTGCATACAACGGATACTGCGGAACCACTGTCGATCTCCATTTGTAGTCTTTCACCATCGACTATAGGATCAATCATACATGGTGCACTGGATCTTTGACTAGCAGACACCATGAGAACGTCCATCTCCTCTTCTGACTCCGATATTCTTGCTCTTCTCATTCTGTCGGCCAAATCCGGTTTATTCGCCTCAACAACAACAGATTTAACAGACGGTTTCTGGTGCTTTAGATCATAGCAATACTTGCGGGTATGACCTTTCCTACGACAATAGGTACAGTAGTACGTTCTACCACCACGCCTTCTGGATTCAGACCGACTCCTGCTGCGACTACGGCTATTGTTTAAGCGATGTCGAAAACCACGACTCCTGCCCCTTGATCCAGATGGAGTTGGAGTAGAGTCACGAGGGAATCCAACCCTCTTCTTACCGATTCGATCAATAACACTGACCCTGGCTGGCTCTTCGTGAATAAGTGTAGCCCTCTCGGTCGCCTCTTCTCGGTTTACGATGATACGCTCCGTTTTGGCCAGGGTGAGGTCATCTTCATCCAGAAGTCACTCCTGTAGTTGCTTGCTTGAGATACCACACAATAGCTTGTCTCGGACTGCCGTTTCTTTAAACGTCCCGAATTTACAATACTCTGCTAATTGCTTCGCTGCCAGAATAAAATCCACAGCTCGCTCGTTCGGTTTCTGCACCCTAGCATAGAATTTGATACGCTGAACTAAATCACTCTCACTTTTGTCGAAGCGTTTTCGCAACGCTTCTGTCAAATCCTTGTAATTGATGTCCTTCAAATCCTGATCAGGATACAGCAACCTCAGTTCAGTGTACACAGCAGTACCGCAAGATGCAAGAAATGTTGTCTTCCTTTCAGCTGGATCAACTTTCTGGTGCAAATAAATCTATTCCAGCTGATCCAGGTATTGTGAAAACGTAATGCATACATCTGGATGGAATGGCTCAATTGTGCTCACAACCGGCATTGTCGCTTTAATAGGATTCAGAAACAAAGACGCACAGATTTAATTCTTCTACCTTCTCAACAAATTGAACAAAGTAGTAGGTTATCTTGAAATTAACACTGTTTGAGAAAATAATTTAATCTCAACAAACAAAAATATTTAAACAATAAATAGAGTCCAATTAAAAAATATTTTCGATAAACATAAACTTATTTTTGGTTCGCAAAAAATTGAAGAAAAACACACATGTATTGCTCGAATAAAATATTATCTTGATATAAAACAATTTTTAATGTACTAATTGCAACAACATTAAACCGAAAAATTATAAAACGATAAAAAACATACCTGATTAGCCAGTAGGGTATCTGACTATATCCAACACAACAGATGACCTAGAACAACCTTACCAAACAATATCGCCTATTCAAAACACACAAACCACTTCTACCGCGTACTGCGCCCTAGGCCGGTGACAATATAGCTTTCTCTCCGGTCAATCACACGAAGCCACGCGCTATGTGGACAAAAGATTTACTGATGCAACGATGGCGATCAGGTCGGAGATCTGCACTACAGTCACACACGTACAAAAATGTTCAATTTTTGCACTCGCAATCAATTTAGTTTTAGCTGTTTTTTTTTTTTTTTTTTTTTTTTTTTTAGGTGATGATATACTTTTATTACCCAGCTGGTAAAGCTTCACCAAACTTGAGGTGAACGAATTGGGGTTTTCCACTTGCCAGGTACACTATAACGTTGGAAATTTACTTTCCACCCACTAGTAAAAAATAAAACTCACTGAGACACAAAACTAAACTTTTCTTGTTAAACTTATATAAAATAAATTCCACCTCGTTCGCCAGTTGTAATATCTGGGTAAATATGGGTATTAGGTTTTAGAGATTTTTCGGATGTAAGTACGAGGTATAACACCTATGTTATCGCTTGCACGCTCTGATAAAAACTGAGCTGAGTTTATTCTCGGATTGCTGATATAGTATCAGCGGTACTCACGCACTCACGCATTCAATAACCGATCATTACATTTATGTTGTTAGTTTATTTAGCTAAGGATAAAATTATCGTTTCCTGTAGTCTCGCGTATTCAATAAAGTTAGGTCCTGATTCTCCTCCCGCTGCAAAAGAAGGCGAAAAACATAATCAACATAACAGTCGAGCGCGGGTGCAGGAGTTGTGAAAAGAAGAGAAGTATCCGAGTCACGGTGGAGTGAACGCGTGTTTTGGATTCGGAGACAAATTACCCCGTTTCAGGCCGAAATCGTTCTACTCCAGCTGGGAAATCGACTCTCAGCCGTGTCGCGAGTGCCAGTACGAAAGCCCCGTGGCTGCGGAAAAAGGAACACTGTTCTAGTAGTGCAGTGAAAATGGTGTCGGATCGCCATTGTGGGAAGCCGAGCTATTCGTTTCCTGGCTAACCGTTAAGGATCCATCTGACACCTGCCGTCCTGACTGCGGTGGCTCCGCCAATAGAGCAAGTCTCGCCACCGCAGTTAATCGTCAATCGCCTACGGCGAGTAGGCAATCCGGTGATTCGTCACCAACGTCGCCGGGGGGGGGGGGGGGGTGTTCCAACAGACGAGCCCAGCTCTTCCCCCCGCTAAGTGTTAAGGACAGCTGCTAAGCAGCCAAAGAAGCAAACCGCTCAGCACAGTCCGTGCTTTGTAGCAGCAGAACCGCCGCCAGACCGTCATCGAAAGGCCCCATCGAACAGCAGTAGCAACAGCGAAGAGGAGGACACAGATTAGTGGATAATAGACGTCTACACGGACAGAAAATTCAAGACCAACAATTGAAATGGCCTTAACTCCATTTTGTAGACAAACCTTGTAAGGCCAATTTCTCGCGAACCGAAGTCCACAAAGGCAAACCAACATAATGAAAAGGTAAGGGAAATTCTCCTATACCCGATTGTGGTTTAGGTTTGCGAATGAAGGTTTTGGTTCGCGAGAAAATGGCGCCCCCTCGTTACAAGGTGTGTTTACAAAATGGAGTTAAGGCCTTTTCAATTGTTGGCCTTGAATTGTTTGCATTGAACCAAAAAAAAAACTGTTTTTGTATTTAAACAAACAATTCCGGTTGAAATTATATTGCATTTTGTTGTTTCAATAATACTTATTCATATAAATTCAAAATAAGATTCTTTTTGTGTTAATAAGCCACTCTTCAACTGCAACTATTGTTAAAATAACAATATTCTTTTATTAAGCCAACAATAGGTAATTTTAATTTAGCATTTATTGGTTTTGTCCGTTCCCCGGGCCATGAATGCAAAAATAACTACCAACCATTCCCTCGTTCCCGGACAAAAAATGTAAATAATAACACAAAACTGTTCTCGTTTGATTCAGCTCTTTTTCGCGTTCGACGTAAATATTCACCCCTATTCTGTATTTCGTTTCGAACGAAATTCTCATACAAAAAAATATTTTTTTGTATGAGAATTTCGTTCGAAACGAAATACAGATTAGGGGTGATTGTTTTTAACAGTGAATTTCGGGAAATAAGTGCAAGATTTCCGAAAATCTTGAGACTTGAGGTAAGTAAGTATGATGCAGTTGCTAAATATGAACAGCTTTTCTTTATTTTTTCCTTGATTTTTTTTTCAGTCGATCTTGTTTTCCGTACTGAGTACCAATGCTTCCAACGCCAGGAAGGCAGCTCCCACACCTGGACCCTACCAATGCTCCCGACGCCAGGAAGGCAGCTCCCACACCTGGACCCTACCCTTCGACCCATCAACTCATGAACCGGAGAGATTTTATGCCTCAGAAAGGGTTTTTTTTTTTTAAATTCAATTGCAATTCTGTTTGTTACTAAAAGAAAACAAAACATACCCAGCTCTAGGTCTGGGTGGTCCCTCCTGTCCCCCTCCCCTTATTTACGCCAATGACCCTCTCTAGTTGTGACCTTCCTCTGAAAATTGAACTTATTTACTGAAAATAAATCAAGCATGGGGTACAAAATAAGGCTGTGAATAAAAACATACCAACTAGACAACGGTTTAGTAATTTTGCACTTTATTAATTTTCATGAATATTTACATATTCCTTAATAAGTTAGGACAGGCATTAAATATGACGCTTTCTTTAAAAATATACAGTGTAAAATACTGTCAAAAATTCTAATGCATTTTCAACGCTGCTAGATCACTGTGTAAACGCCCTGCACATACGGTTCCTGAAATCATTCGTTTCTGTTCAAACTAAAATCGTACAGCTCTATCAATCCTCAACAAAGCAAGTGTTGCTCCGTCAGGAGTATCTTAATGTAAGATGGCATAACAACGGCTCGTAACCCTACTGTACTCTACACTACTCGGTGTGATCGTTTTCGGTGTACAGCTTGACGATTTCTTCAATACTGACGTACGATCCGGATACGAGAGCAAAAATCGAAAACGCCGCAAAGATGACATTTTTGATTAGAATCCATTTGAATTTTCCGAGCTCGTTTGGCCACAGGAAAACCGTTTCCACTACGCAGGGTACCAGCAGACCCAAGCTGGAGAAGAAGATAGCTCCAACCAAGCCGATGAACGGTTCCAGATCGGGCACGGCCAATGCGATTCCTCCCATTAGGACCATGATTCCACTTCGGATGGCAATCTGTGACATGTTTTGCTTATCCTTCGGGATCTTATGCTGGATCTTCTTCCACAGGATGTCCATCGGAACGTAGAATTGCAAGCCAAAGGTGAAGAGGATCGCCAGAGCGATCAACACTTGAGCTATCTTTGCCATGCTGTGGATGAGAGTTGAAGTTAGTATCTTGCATGGGTTTGAAGTGGGAATTCGGACTTACATATCCTCAGTTGGTAGATTCAGGGTGATACTACCTGCCGATAACTCCCCATATCGAACGTATCCGAAGAAACCGATCACTGCGTAGAGAGTAATAACGGTTCCCATGGCGGTGTTCAGCACTCCTGGACATCCGAGGAACTGCTGCGGCTTAGCCATCGAGTTTTCGACGGGCATGACAACACCAATGCCTTCCATGGCAAAAATTACGGTACTAAACAATAAATATGTCTCGTGAAGTAAGAATCTCTGAAACATACACTGGATTCGTCTACATACCTGAAGAACAGGGGTAACGTAGCAAATGATGCAAAACTGGGTTTATCATCGAATTGCAGTGGATCTTTGAAGATGTAGTACAGTGTAATTCCGAAGGTCACTACGATGAACAGGTTGGCTATGGCCGAGAATGGGACCAAATACTTGAGGGAACGAATTTGGCCCATCAACAGGACAGGGATCATGGTTAGCAGGATGTAGTAGCGAACATTCCAATCCAATTCGGCGGCTACGTTGACGACCTTCGCCAGCGAGCTTCCGATGAACACGATGTACACACAGCCGGCGCTAAAGTACGTCGCCATGAGACCGTAGTCTACGAAGAGTCTGCGGAGAAAGAGTGAAGGTAAAGAATATTAATAAAAAAGGAGTTTAGATCAATTGTTGCGAGTAAGATTTCCACAATATTTGAGATTGTGTGGGTTCCGAATGGAAGATTGTTTCTGAGGGTATTAAGTCCGACACTTTTGAACTTTAGATCTTCTATGTAAAGTTCGTGTAATATGGAGAATATGATCTTTTTTTCTGTTAAAGAGTTGTTTGGAAAAAGTCTTCGCATCCAGCCCGCGTTGCTCAATTCTCGTTCATCTTTCTCAGACGAGAACTTTGAATCATGTTGGGGAGCGCAAAGCAGAAATGGCATCATGGACAAATTCTTTACAACTTTTCAGCTATCAGATGACCAACGTATTGTCGACAGAATACTGAATGCTTTGATAGGCATCACGATAAATTAGCAATAATTGAACACAGCAAAAAAATAATTTTGATATCACATCAAAGTGGATGCACTTCAATCGTGTCGAAAATATGGTGTAATATTACTTGCCAACACGGACAAAATTATCATTAATACAGTGCATGAACTGAGTATTACCAAGCCGGAGGCGGCGGGGTCGATTCCCGGTCCGGTCGAGGGAATCTTTCGGGTTGGAAATTTTCTCGACTTCCCTGGGCATAAAGTATCATTGTGCTTGCCACACAATATACAAATTCATGCATTGGTATTGGCATCGAAAGCTCTCAATTAATAACTGTGGAAGTGCATTTAGAACACTAAGTTGAGAGCACGCAATAAGCTAATATGCGCTAAGCAATAAGCTTGAAATGCGAATAAGAAGAAGAAGAAGATGAACTGACATTTCGCTGCTTTTACTGCATTTGTTTATTTTTGTGGCCATAACGATGACATGAGATTTTCGACATTGTTGAAGTGCATCCTCATGGATGTAATATTAAAATTTGTTTTTTGCTGTGAAGAACGTTCCCGAATCACTGGAATCACCCAAGACGCAATAAACAGTTATACTTTTTATCATCCCTCCTGCTTAGCCAGGTTCAATGAACACGAAAGCAAAGAAAATGACACCAAGTTCTAGGTCATTGCAATTTAATAATAGAACGCATAGGCAGTACGCTCTCGTTGGCATCATAGGATTTACCCAACGGGTGCACGCAGCATAAAACAAAGCAATAAAATTCAAAGGAAAGCTATACGCCTGCACCAGTTTAGCTTCCCAAGTAACCAAAAGTTCCGCATTCAACAATATAACTCACTTCCAAGTTCCATAAAGTTCAAATAAAGGTCCAACAGAACTTTCAAGTTCAATAAAGTTAAAATAAAGTTTCGACAGAACTTTCTTCCCAAGCAACCGAAAGTTCCGTATTCAACGGTAAACCCCACTTTCAAGTTCCATAAAGTTCTGATGCGTACTCCTAGCAACTTGAAGTTCAAAAAAAGCATCTCTAAGCACTTCTGAGGAACTTCAGGCAAGGCTGAAAACATGGACACAACAAAGTTCCGAACAAGTTCCCAGTGGAACTTCTTAGCAACTTTAAAAGCTCCCTGCGGAACTTCTTAGTAACTTAAAAAAGTTTCTAAGAAGGTCCGTCATAGCCCACATGAAGCAATCCACACAAGTCTTTATTAGCTTTATGTACGTAAATATGAAATGATGAGTGGCTCAAATAAATCATTATTCTTATACATAGGTAGTACATCAATATTCTATCCAAACATAAAAAAAATAAAGAGCAATTTACTGGATTCGAACTCGTGTATTCGGCACTGCGCCACAAGTGAGGTGGAATAACAGGCGGGCAAAAACTTATTTAAAATTCATCAAGGTGTTGTGTTTAGTATTCAAGTTAGTCAACTGGCACTACCCAAGTAACCAAAAGTTCTGATAAAAGGCTATTTGTGGCTTAAGTAGCTTGGTTGGTGGTGGTCTATGGAATTCTAAGCAGCCTCATTTTTAAGTCGTTATAAGAACTTGAAAGTTGCGATATCATAATTGAAGAGCATTCTAAGCAGCTTCTGGCGGAACTTGAACGGAACTTTTAGAAAATAAATTAAAACAGGTTTTCGTCCACTACACCAATTCTATGTTTAGTTCGCACTTTGATGAAAGTTAGTAGAATTAGAGCTGTTTGAAGAATTAAACTCAGTCCTTCTGCAGCACGAACCGCTGCGTCATCTGAGATATAATAAAGTGAGATGTTGTCTCGCCTACTATTGGAGTTTTCAGTGCCAGCTGACTGACTTGATAACGAAACACAACACCTTGATGAATTTTAAATTGGTGTTTGTCCGCATGGTATTCCAACGCATTTGTGGCACAGTGGTTAGCGTTCGTAGATCGCATGCCGAATACGCGGGTTCGAATCCAGGAAATTACTATTTAATTCTTTTTTATGTTTGGATAGAATGATGATGCACTGCATACACACAGAGTTTAGATTACCGGAGTCGGTAAAATTTTACTGGGTTTTCAAACAGCTGAGTTTTCAGTTATCATCTGAGTACTTTTTGATTTAACTGAAAACTCCGTAAATCGCAGAATCTCTGAAATGTCAGAAATTACCGTTTAAGTCAGTAGAATAATTGCTGTCTTTTTCAGTAATTTATTTGTTTACATTTTTTTGCTGAGTTTATCAGTTTTTTTTCAGTAGGTATTTTTATGAATAATTCAGTAAATTTATAAATACAATGATTAATTGCTAAATGATTATTTTTGATACATTTTAAACGATTTTTATTCCGGAACTGAGGTTAACATGTTTAGTGGTAGAGTAGCCGTGATTCTAAACTAGTTATGGTTGAGCGGTCAGCGCTTCCTGATGATTCAACCGAATTGTGGCTCTCTCGGTGTGCTGGATTGCGTGCCGAAGTCTGGAGCTCTATAAGGCATTTGTATTGAATGGTTCTGCTTCAAAATCAAACATCTGGAAGTCGATGCAGAAGTGCAGAAACTGCCCAATTTTGTGGCAGTTTTTGCACTTCTGCATCGACTTTCAGATGTTTCATTGATTTTCACAATGGTTTGCTTCTTCACGCGGATATTTCCGTTGTCAAGTCAGCAAGGTAGAACGGAGGAAGATGGCGTATGTAATTTGATTTACTGGTATGATCAGCAATTTTCAGTAAATTTCAGTAAAAAACAATGAATTCTGAAAACTCGGTACTCCATTTTACTGAGTTTCATTCATTCACCGTAAAGCTGTTATTTTACGGTAAATTCAGTACATGCTTTTACCGTATTCAGTAGTTTGTCGCAATAGCTACTGACCATCAGCAGTTTTGTTGAGAATAGCTGAATGATCGGTATTTTTTGTGATTTACAGTTCGAAAACTGTAAAAAAAATTACCGAACATGGAACCCGTGATTAAGTGTGTAAATATAAGAATTATGATTTATTCGGGCCATTGATGATTTCATATTTATGTACATTAAATTTTGTTACCAATAAAGACTTGTGCGGATTGCTTCATGTGGCTTGAAAGTTCTGTCGGAACTTTATGGAACTTGAACTTTATTTGAACTTTATGGTGATTTTAATCGTTGAATGCGGAACTTTTGGTTGCTTGGGTAAAAACTCCAACAGCAGGCGGGACAACAGCTTACTTTAATATATCTCAGATGACGTAGTGGTTCGTGCTGGGGCTATACAATTTGTTTAGAGGACAAGAACCTTTTTTTAAACTTATTTTCTGAAAGTTCCGTTCAAGTTCCGCCAGAAGCTGCTTAGAATGCTCTTCAATCAACCGGTGGAAACTAACTATTTTAAATTGGCTTGCTACTGGACTAGCCTAATGGTCCTAAGCGAATCGATTAACGTACTCCATTCTAGTCAAAATTATAGTACTACACAATGTTTGTTTTGATTCGCTATGAAAGTTTGACAGATAAAATAAGGGGTTAGTGGATTTTCCTATGTTTCGAGGGGTGAATCGATTAGCTTGGGACCGATGATAGTAGCAGAGCTGAGCCAAAAAGTTGAGCACGTTTCTTCGGGACCTACTAGTCTTTGAGTTACCTCTATGCTTCAATTATGGTACCGGAACTTTTAAGTTCTTATAGCGACTTAAAAATGAGGCTGCTTAGAATTCTATAGACCACCTTCAACCAAGCTGCTTAAGCCACAATTAGCCTTTTATCAGAACTTTTGGTTACTTGGGTTAGGTTTAGGCGCTGCGTAGGAGTCAAGTGCATCCTGGACATATGTATATATACGAGATTATTCTGGAAGAATTGTGTTGGTCCCAAAATGCATCACATTTATCAACATTACGTTTGGACGATCTTAGCAGGAGAAAGTTCTTCCTACTGTGTTACCTGACTTATAACGAATATACGTTGTATACGAGTACCCCGAATACAACGTATAGTTCGTCTAATTTTACATTACAAATGCTATGCAAAATTAGACGAGTCATACGTTGTATTCGGGGCACTCTTATACAACGTATATTCGTTATAAGTCAGGTAACACAGTAGGCTCAAACCCCTATATAAGATAAATTTTCTATTTAATAAATCGAATGTTTTCGTTAGTCTTCAGACGTCTGTCGACCTGTCAAGATACGAATTCCCTCCAGCCAGTAGCTTCATCAGGTTTAATCTTAGATACCTGTTGAGACCAGAATCTCTAATTTAGTGAGAAGTTCAGTCCTCAGTCTAAAATCAAAGTCCAAAAACCTGATGCTAAAGGCACTGCTTTTCGGTCTATCAAATTCTGAACCACGCTATTGTAATAGTCTCTTAATTTAGTAGAGGAACTGTCTTAGCGCCTTGAACAGTTTTTGATAGAATCGAGAAAAAGGCAGAGCTCCAAGCAGTCCCGGCAGGGTAACGGCGCACCATCCAAACCATTCGGCGTGGTAAGTAAACCTTCGCGTGATAAACCAAACTCGAGGCAGCTTGTTTTAACTCCTCAGCCATCCGTGTCCAACTGGAGATCCGTGCTGGAGATGAACTAGCGTAAAATAGCTAAAAATCTCACTAATAAAGATTAAACAAAAAATTCTCTGGGCTGTTTCGGGGACA